ACACGCTCTCTCTCTCACACAAACACACACACACACACACACACACACGCTCTCTCTCACACAAACACACACACTCTCAGTGCTAGAGGTTAGTAGTTAAAACCTCTAATTCATCATAACATGCTAATAAACCGTGCATCCACTTACAGCTGAAAAACAAACAAAAAAACATTAGCAACTATAAGCCTTGCATGAGGAACACAAAAATGAATTTTTTTTCTGGATATTATATCTTGAACTTGAAATAAAGACATAAATCAGAATTCTGGATGTGACACTGTTGGACAAACCAGAAAAACCTCAGGAGTGATGTAATAAACTTGCTTTACTGCTTTCATCAAGAACTTCAAAAGCTCTGTGAGTCTCCACTAGTTTAACAATCGCTGTACAGCAGGGCATCAAATCACAAACACACACTAAAGTCACAAATCTGAGGTGCCAGACTGCTTTAGAAAATCCCTAACCCTCAACAAGCCTCTCAAGTCATCAGATACTTACTCATCGACCTTGAAATGCCCCATGAGGAGTTTAACTCGACCAAACCTGTTTGTTGAAAAAAAATTTAAAAAAAGAAATCGAGGCATTTGTTACTAACAAAGCAAACAAGTTCTCAATCTGTAAGCATGATGCTTTTGGGAAACGCAGCCCTGGACTGTTACGACTGTTAATTACAAATATCAAGTGCAGATGAAAAATCGAATATTGGATAAGAAATGTGAAAGAGTAGATGAGCATGTTTTGCTGAAGATGATGATGATGATGATGATGGCAGTGTTTGACTCTGTTCGTGCAGGAGACGCTGTAGAGCCGCTGTTGGCAGAAACACAAATCCCTGTGGAATTTGCTTGGAGAACATCTGAATGAGTGACACTCTTTGCTTTGACTTAGATAGGCCTTGTTGTTCAGCGCTCAGTCCAGCGTACAGTCACACGCTCCGTTTGGACCGACTCACGGTTCTGGAACTACATGGCCAGCTCTAAACTCGTCAGCTGATGCACAGATCCCTTACTAATGACCTCATGCTTTCTACGGTCAAAAGCCAGATGTTGTTTTTTTCTAACTAAATTAACAGCTCTTTTATTTGAGACACACAAGGAGAGGAATGTTGTTTATGCACGGTAGTTTATCATTGTGCCGCGGATCTGTGGGTAAAACCGCTTTATGTTGAGTTGGCAAGCATCAGGTGTTTTAATCATTTTCTCATCGACTCACATCTCGAACACAGATGTGTCAGCTCTTGGCTTCAGCTTCGTGCCAGAGAAGTGATTCAGCGTGACTCCAGCACAATCACAAGCTCACCAGCTTTCTATCAGAGAGAATCCGTGGAGCTGCCAGGTGTTGGCACATACTTCTGAACAGAGGAAGTGTTTTTGGAGAAAATCTGCCAAAATGCATTAAAAATTTGGCTTTGAATAAACAGCAGTACTGCTTTGCAAAAGCATATTGTAAAACTAATAGGCATAATTCACCCAAATTGAACATTTTCTCATCCTTTTCTCTCACTTATGTTATTTCAAACCTGCATGGCTTGCTTTCTATCTGTAGAACACAAAAGGAGAGTTTTTCTCTCAAATGTTTTTTTATGGTCACAGCAAGCATCTTCTGCAAGTGAAAATGTGGTAGTGTCACTAATTAAAGCTTTTAAACTCCAAACCGAGACGATTAGCATAAAAAGATGACAGATGTTGTTCTGCAGTGACCCGGGGCCAGTGTCTCTGCGATCAATACGAATTCCAGGAGCAGCAGAGAATGTTGTGGACGGGACTCAGCAGACATGAAGTCTTGAGTGAGACAGACGGCTCTTTCATCGCCCACCGCTGCGGTTAATGTCACCGTCCTCAGCAGCAGAGCATGTGATCGCACTGTGCTAGAGACACAGTCTGGAGTGTGCAAAGATCAACAGTAGTAGTCTACATTATTGCACGTTTAGCTCAGCGAGTGCTGTCCAGTTATCATCTTATTCTGCATGATTTTATTCTGTTACTTACTGTTCACTCATCGCACTAGACATGGAAGGTCAAGCCAGGTGCATTGCATTATGGGATATAGTCTCCCACACATTGTGCATGCAGACGGAACAGAGAAACAAACCAAAAATAAAAACAAGAACAATTTTGGTAACATTTTATTTTGATGGGCATTCTTGACAATAAGTAACTTTGTACCTGCATGTCAAGTAACTCTCATTAGAGTATCAGTAGTCTGTCTGCTTAATATCTGCTAACTCTTTATTGTGCTGGTCTCCCAACAGACATTCTATTGACTGTGTACAGTATGTAGCTTTGCAATACGTCATTGTCAATTTATTCTAACCCTAACCCTACTCACACTCTAATGAGAGTTAGTTAGTAGACATGTTAAGAGCATGTTATTACAGTCAACAGAATGTGTTAAAGAGACCATCAAAATAAAGTGAAACCACACTTTTTCATGTGACTTTGTTGTAATAAAGTGACTATAAACATAAAGAATTAGGCAAATGTGCTCTGTTAATCCCTAAACTGTGTGAACATCCAGTGGAAATAAAGCAGAGGTTTATTAAACAGCCACAGAGAGGGCTATTCTTACTCATTCCAGGAGTATCTGATGCTCACTACATACATACTAACTAAAACAGGCATAAAACTGCAACACTGAGGCTTTTCACGCGGTCTGAAGAGGCTTTTATACAAATCTAAATGTAGCATACATATTTTTCTGTAAATATAAATAAGACGTTTTTTCAAAGGTTTATGTGGATTGACATTTAACGCACGTCATCTACTTATAAGCATATACTTAAGCATCGTCAAAGTAAGAAATGAAACATTATTATTGTAAACGCTTTATAGGCGAGTTATTCTAATAGACCAGAACACAAACACTGCGATCAGACGACGCGTTTATCTCAGGTCACGTGATGAGATGAATCGCCGCGCGACGCGCCCACGCACGCACGGAGACCCGATCAGAGCAACGCTGGCGATGAGATGAAGCGAGCTCACACCAGAAGAGAAAGCTGTGTTGTTCTGGAGCCGCTGCTCGTCTGGATGCATGTCCTGAAACACTGATCTGCTGGAGTTTTACTGGAGGTTAATATCGGACACACCTGCGCGCGCGAACAGGTGAGACTCGCTTCAGCTTTCTCTGGACTGAAGACTCAATACTTGCTTTTGAGCTGCTGTAGAGCTCAACATCTGCAAACTCACAATGAACAGCGATTCATATGATCTGAGATCCTAAACTCTTCTGATTCTGCATTACAGAATAAAATCACATCTGTTTTGTAACCATGGTAAGTTCGCTTCTGTAACACAGCTGCAGTGTTTGTGAAGTCAGTAAACTGTTTTCACTGCTGTCATGGAAGCGGGTATTTTCTCACAGTCATCCTTCAGAAATATTTCCATGCATTGTGTCCCTGGTGAATTAGGAAAAATCCCGAATCCCTGACCTCTGTAACTCACTGCAGTGGAAGCAGATTAATAATGTTTAAAAAAGTCTTTACGTTAATCGTCTGTTAGCCGGATCATATAAGAGTTTTGGACTCTGACCTTTGGCACAGAATATTTTATTTTGCAGCTGCAGCTGTTGACTTCTGTAACAGAGATCTGAAACGGATTAATTGTGCAGAATATCATGTACACATAGAATACATCTACTAAATGTGCTGAGCTGACAATCTGATTTAGCTGAAGCCTGTAATTAAACTGCTGGTTCGTTTCGTCTGGCCAGAGGAGAACTGAGCCTGGTTTCTCCCAAGCTTTTTTCTCCATGATGGAGTTCTGGTTCCTCTGGCTTGCTTAGTTGGGGACACTTCATTTCCAGCGATATCATCGACTTGATTGCACAGACACTATTTAAACTGAACTGAGCTGGATGATCACACCACTGAACTCAATGATGAACTGCCTTTAACTGAACATTGAGTGTTTACTGTTGTCCTTCTGCATTATCAACACAGTTTTCCTATTTAATACTGTAAAGCTGCTTTGACACAATCTGTATTGTTAAAAGTGCTGTATAAATAAAGGTGACTTGACTGTATGAACAGTGCGACGCGACCTGTCCGGTGTGCGGATGAACTGAGTGTAATATCTGCGGTGATTTGTCTAATCTGACTATACAATACAATACAATATTTATTTGTAAAGTACATTTAAAAACAACCGAAGTTGACCAAAGTGCTGTACAGAATAAAATAATAAAAAAAAAAAAAACAAGACTATCAAATTTAAAACAACAACTGAACCAATGATCATGGGGTACTGAAAGCTAGAGAGAATAGTTATATCTTTAGAGCAGACTTAAAGGCAGAAATAGAGGGGGCTAATCTGAAGCGGTAGACTGGTCCTGACTCAGTTTTAAGCAGTCTGCCAAACGTTAAGACGTTTCTGCTTCTGTCCAGGTTTTCTGATGGCTCTGCTCGCCCTGCTGCTGCTGCTGGGCTCGGCGTCGGGCTCGGCCCCGGGGCCCCAGTGGCCCCTTCAGCGCGTGCCTGTGGTTTGGCCCCAGCAGACAGAGGAGCGGCCAGCGCCTCACTTCCTGCAGCCCGCTCAGCTGGAGCTCAGCTCTTCCTGCGGCCCCGAGTGCCACAAGCGGGCCCCTGCACCCAGCTACTGGGACCTGCGCCAGTTCCTGTCCTACGAAACGCTGCACTCCAGCGGCCAGCTGACCGAGACGGCGGTGGGCATCTACGGATTCGACGCCGAGGCCTTCTACAGGCCCCCCGCCGGCCGCTCCAGACGCAGACGCCAGATCTTCGGTCCAGACGGCCGCTTCAGTATCATCGGCCAGGACTTCCTCATGAACTACCCCTTCTCCACCGCCGTCAAGCTGTCCACCGGATGCTCGGGGACGCTGGTGGGGGACCGGCACGTCCTCACGGCGGCGCACTGCGTTCACGACGGAAAGAACTACGTCAAAGGAGCCCAGAGGCTGAGAGTGGGCTTCCTGAAGCCGCGGCAGAAAGAGACGTCCGGCGGAAACGGCACTGAACCGAGCAAGATGAAGTTCCAGTGGATCCGAGTCAAGCGCACACACGTGCCCAAGGGCTGGATCACTAACACTGTAATGATTATTTATGATTTATACTTTCTTTTATTGTATTATTTTTTTGTGCTTTTGTATTTTATTTGTTTTTATTAGAGCTGTCAGTCGATTAACATTTTAAATCTAATTAATTACATGATGTGTCGATTAATTAATCTAATTAATCGCAAATTACATTACTTAAAAACTGCCAGCAGGTGGCGGTAGATGTCTTTATGAGTCATTCATTCATTCGATTCGTGCAAACGGCTGATTCATTCAGGAATGAAGTAAACGGCTCATTTTATGAATGGGGCTTTGAATCATTGATTCACCCGATTCGTTCAAAACGCAGATTCATTCAGAAACTAAACACCGCTGTGTTGCTCGGAGACGCACAACAATTCTGCTGTGGCTTTATAGGTAATACTTTTGTTGGCAAAACTGAGCAAAAACAGACAATATTGTGTTTAAAATAGAACACAATATTAACTTCCTATTTACTGAACTGTTGTATAAAATCACATTTGCACTCGTTATATTCGAGACAATCAGCACTCGTGGGATATTGCTCGCGCTGCTGGTGTGATATCGCTTATCATGTGATATAAATATGAGACAAAAACTCATACAGGAGCATTTTTTTGACCCAATATCTTGAATTTTAGGGCATAACTGCAATTATGGAGTTGCCCTGTATCATATTTGTTAATAGTCAACTGTATGAACTGTAAGATGACGTACAGGTCTGGGGGCGGGGCCAGTGTGTTAACTGCGTTAAAATATTTTAATCACGTTATTTTTTCATAACTAATTTAACGCGTTAAACTGACAGCCCTAGTTTTTATTTGCTGATGTTTGTAGCGCTTTGGGTTTTAGAAAAGTGCATTATAGATGGTTCCAACGGAAACAACATAAACAAACGTTACTTAACTTCCGGTAGACTTCCGCAAAGAACCAATAACAACAGCAAAGTCCTTCTAGAGTAGATTATTTCTGATAACACGCAAAACATGTTTGCTGCGTAAATCAGATGGGCTTATTGAAAATGCAAATTCATTCTCTGCCAGCAGGAGGCGCTTTTGGAGCAGCAGATATAGAGGTTTCTCCAGTAAAGGCTGTACACAATGCAGCGCTGTGCTCACAAACACTGCTTTATCAGACATTAGAGGCAAGATGAAGTGAAAATAACATCAACATTTTTCTGGAGACAGTCGGTTTTCTTCAGAGATAAAGTGATATAAAAACACCCGCACCGCATTTGATTTCGAAACGTGCAGTGCTCATGTTTATTCAGCGAAGTCAAATCTATTTGAGGTGGTCAGTTTTGATATTGTGGCAGGCCAACACAAATAAATCAATGTATGGGAAACATTGCATCCCACAGCACAACAACCTGAGCCCAACTTCAGTCTACTCATCACCTTAACTTTAACTGCATTTGTAGTCGGCGCCCCTTGCCAGACCGATAAACAAACACAGACCGGAAGTTAACTGAGGGCCAGGCGCGTGCGCCCGATGAAACTGTCTATAAATAAAATGTGACCAAGGTCCACAAAACCAGTCATAAGGGTCCATTTTTTTTATTATTGAGATTTATGCATCATCTGACAATATTTGGCTGAGATACAACTATTTGAAAATCTGGAATCTGAGGGTGCAAAAAAATCTAAATATTGAGAAAATCATCTTTAAAGTTGTCCAAATGAAGTTCTTAGCAGTGCATATTACTAATCAAAAATTAAGTTTTGATATATTTATGGTAGGAGGTTTACAAAATATCTTCCTGGTACATGATCTTTACTTAATATCCTAATGATTTTTGGCATAAAAGAAAAATGGATAATTTGGACCCATACAATGTATTATTGTTGGCTATTGCTACAAATATACCTGTGCTGCTTATGACTGCTTTTGTGCTCCAGGGTCACAGATGTATTATAATGTTTATTATTATTATCAAGGGCTCGGCCAACGACATCGGCATGGATTACGACTACGCCCTGCTGGAGCTCAAGAAGGCCCACAAGCGGAGGCACATGAAGCTGGGCATCAGCCCCGCGGCCAAGCAGCTCCCCGGGAAGCGTGTGCAGTTCTCCGGGTTCGATAACGACCGGCCGGGTCAGCTGGTGTACCGCTTCTGCGAGGCCGGGGACGAAACCTACGACCTGCTGTACCAGCGCTGCGACGCTCAGCCGGGCGCCAGCGGCTCCGGGGTCTACACCCGCATGTGGAACCGCAGACGCCGGCGCTGGGAGCGCAAGGTCATCGGGATCTTCTCCGGACACCAGTGGGTGGACCTCAGCGGCACGCCTCAGGAGTTCAACGTGGCGGTGCGCATCACTCCGCTGAAGTTTGCCCAGATCTGCTACTGGATCAAGGGAAACTACGTGGACTGCAGAGAAGGCTGAGTAGCAGTGGAGCGCTTTGCTTTGTCTCCGTTAGCACATAAGATACTCTCTATTATTTCATGCAGAAAAGTTGCACAGTCCAGAATATGCATCAATAACTAATAAAATTCTTTGTTTTTTAACACTTGTTTAGCCTTGTGCAAAAGAGCAAAAGTATGGAGTCAAATCAGTGCCACATATACTTGCAAAAGAATTGAAGTATTGAAAAATAAAATAAAGTTTTGCAAAGCAAAGTTAAAGTGAGGAAACAATAAATGTGCTTTTCGCAAACAAAAATAAAGAATTGCAAAAGAAAATAAAGTTTTGCAAACGAAAATGAAAGTATTGAGAAAAACGTGCTTTTGCAAACAAAAATAAACAATTGCAAAATATAAATGAAACTAAATTTGCAACACACATTTTTCATGGCCATAGCTACTCATTTATTTGCAAAGCTGCTTTTATTTTGCTTTTCAGTCAAGTGTGAGTTCGCGATAACTTTCTTTTTCCCACCCCCATGCCAAAACAATGCCAGAAAGTGAAACGCGCAGAAACTGTATTCTTTGTATGCTTTGCAAAACTTTATTTTATTTTGCAATACTTCAATTATTTTGCAATTATATGTGGCATTGATTTGACTCCATACATAAGTATTTGGTAAGGTTCTCCACTGACAGCCATTCTATCGTAGCACATATCGTTATAATATAGTAGATGTTTTAGGAGTGCCTGATTTTTATTTTCCGTCTGCTGCCTTTGATTTCACGGCTCAGGACAGTCGCCGGTGAAGGACTGGAGACAGAAAGGCACGGACATCAGCTTGTTCTGTTCGTAGCACCGGTGCCGTTTCTGTTTTCTCTAATGTACTGAAGTGTGAGGTGCTTGCTTGTGTGGAAATTGAGAACTACTGTATGAGATACTGCTTTTACAGGCGTGTGCTTCCCTCTAGTGGTCAGAGACTGTTCTGCAGAGGTCCACACACAAACACACTGTATATCAAGACATGAGTGGATATCAGCTCCCGAACCGCACTTTGACGTTTATTCATTCAATGGCACTAATCATTTGGAGAATTTTAACGCCCTTTGTTATGCACAACACATTAAAAGCTTTTGCAAAAAATAAAAGCACCAGTCATGAATGAGAATTAACTGCAAGAACTGCTCAGATTAGACACATTCATGCGTGATCCACAAATGATTGTTTTTATAAAGTCACGACGCTTGTCGAGAACATGGCCAGCTTATATTTCACCCAAACATTGTAAGAAAATGGAGCTTATTTTTAAGGCACTTTGAAATTAAGCACCCCTAAAATTCTCATGACTGTAATAAGAAAAACAAACATACTATCATAATATAAAGAAAATCTTTCTTGGTTTTATTTTCCTCTTGGGGTGAAATACGACCCAGACATTTCCTGGCCTTTTTCATGATGACGATCATCCACCAACAGATCTGAGAAGAACAGGCTGTTTTTGTCTTTTATTCTGGATGTCATCAATACTCTGAAACAAGCGGTTCTGAAAAATACTGCAAGCCTGACAGTCCACAGGCTCCGCCCAGAGCGCACTAGCCACGCCCACGGCCCCCTGGGATTTGGCACAGAAAAGGAAAGAAGGATGCTGATGGCTCAAGCTTTAAAATAGATCCTGTCGGTGCTGTTTTCTACAAAGTTTGATTGAAACAAAGTGGACACGTGAGATACTATGAACAGATAATACTCGTAAAACACAGTAACAGTGGAAATGATCAAACAGCACTGAGTGAACCGGACCGTCCAGTCCTTTGTCGTGATTGGTCGGCTTTAGCTCTTCCAGTTGTTTTCTTTCAATCTTTGGCTGAATTTGGACGTCACGCGAGACGCGGGCTACAAAAGGATACGACGGCGCGTCGTAAACGTAACATCGTGTGTAACCGTATACAAAATAAAATATTTTCTTAAATAGATACAAACGTTGCATAAAAGTAGACGGTATAAACAGCAGAAGTCCGCGTCTCACTGAGGCTTGATGCTCATGCCGGCCGCGAGCGGGTGCGAGTACGCCTTCCCCAGCACGAGGCGGTCCCGCAGCAGCTTGAACAGCACGTGATAATTACAGAAGAGGATGAGGCCCAGAGAGAGCGTGTGGTTCCACCGCTCGGAGCGCAGCAGAGAGTACAGCTGATACAGCACCACGCTCGACTCGATCCCGATCAGCAGGTTCAGCATCCGCAGCGGCTTGTGGAACAGGAACTGCTCGGGAGAAGACAACACCATCAGCTCTGAAGATCAGCGGCAGATTATTATATTTATTTATTATAAATAACTATTCTTCTGTGCTCCACAAACACGAAAAGCACATGAATATGAGGGTGAGTAAATGGCAGAGACCCTGCTAAATGACAGCAGAGTTTTCATTCTGGACAGTGGTCGACCGATATTGTTTATTTGACAGCCGATGCGATGCCGATATCTTAGAGAGCAGGGTGGCCAATGGCCGATATATGCATGTATCATTTTTGTTTATTTTAATTCATTAAAAAATTTGAAATAATTTGAAAAGGAATTAAAAAATTCATGTCAAATAAACATACTTAAAACATACTCTGCTAGGTCTGGGAAATTAAATGTTTATTAGACAATAAAAGATTTGTTTAAATGATATAAATGCGTATTTGCTGAATGCTGACGGTAAACGAGAAGGTATTATAATGTTTGCCTTTCTTATACTAATAATATAAAAGCAAACATTATAATACTTTATAGTATACTTTTTAATTCCTTAGACATTGCAAACAACGAAGAGGGATATTGTGAGCACTGCCGGTCTCAGTGCCGTCAAAATAAAAGTCCCGCCTTGAACACATCGGCCAAAAAGAAAAACTTATCAGCCGATGCCGATATTTGAAAAATGCCAAATATCTGCTGATATATCGGCCTTTTTACAATATATCGGTCGACCACTAATTCGGAAGTGAATTATTCGTCTACTATTGCATTTATGTCATCATAGTTAAAAATATGACAGATACTCACATAAAACCTGGCATGAGAGACGTCAGAGGGCAAGGCCACATTATACGGCCCGAGGGCTTTATAGAGACAGCGGCTGTGACGCACCAGGACTCCCTGCGGCCAGATGGTGCTGTCAGACCAGCTGAACACAAGAGAAGAACAGCTCCAGAAACACACAACACTGCTCATAATCCGCTTAAAAACAAACTTGACTTTGAAAGCACGTCTAAATGACCACATAGTAGAGAGCTGAATCACTAGAGATGTAACGATATCATCAATATAGCAAAACTGTCTCCATATTATCATGATCACATGACGATGAAATGATAGGCCTTCTGAGCAAAAAGTGTAGTTTTTAAAAAAAAAATTGTTTTGGGCCATTATGCTTTGGCACATTATCTGTCAAATAAACTAAAACTGAAAGCACAATATGGCTTAATCTCTTCATCAAGTCTGTTTCAAAGCGAAGCGCAGACTTCGTTCAGACGATCAGCTCGTGATCCGGTGTTTTCTGCGTCTCAGAACGACTCGTTCACACTGAATGAATGCAGTCAATTCCTTTATTTCATCTGATGTGAGTTTAGCGCACGTTTGGAAACTCAACAGACACCAGTTATGCTTTATTTTCGCGGCAGATGATTACAGCGTTTCACTAGATTTGTTGTGAGACGTGTTTGTGTTTTTGTAAGCCGGTTTTCACTGAAGCTGGAGTTTAACTTCAAAATAAAAGCTCTGCTGCTGTTTCAGTCAAAATCTTAAAGTGCAGTATGAATTGCTGACAGCTAGCGGTTTAAATGCAGTCCAAATTCAAAATATTTCTTTCAAGTGTAGAAATTAGGAAAGAAGTATTGGAATTTCCATACTGTAGTGTAAAGCAAAAATATACTTATGAAATATTCATTTTCATTTATTTTACAGTGCAATTGTTTTACAATATATGGCTACTGCTGTCATTGTTGTTATTATTATTATAGTCTAATTGATTTGGCTTCCTAAAACACCAGTGTGAATGTAATTTAGACTGAGACAGTAGATCATAAATAAATAGAGGGTTGAGTCCCCTTTAAAGTTCAGGTACAAGTCAATGCACTGACTTTTTTCTGAATTAAGTTTTCTTAGTTAAGAACATGGGTTGGAGCTCTTGATTTTGAACTCTCAAAGTGCATTAGATAGAATAATTTAACTTTAAAATGTACAAAATTGTCATTTTTTCGCATTTCTTCATTTGTCTTTTTTCTTTTTAAATCTGGTAATAATATGGTACTGTGAGATGTTGATATCGTTACATCCCTACTCGATCAGAGCAGCGTTCCCGAGCGTTCACTCACATGTGCTGCGGCGTGTTGCTGTAGGATCCGAGCTCCAGACGCTGCCAGCGGCCCAGATGCGCAGCGGAGCGATGCAGCAGGTCGCAGTAACTGGGAGGCAGCAGCTGGCTCATCAGCATCACAAACGCATTGATCCACACCATGATCAGATGCTCGCAGGACCAGCGCATGTCGTAGTACTGCGTGCTCTGGAAACACGGAAAACATGAAGAGTGTGAAAACACAGGCGTGTGTCGCTATCTCTGCATCGATTTATCGTCGCAGCCTTAAGCCTCAGTGGACGGTTCTCGTCAGGAGTGAATGATAACGTATTAGCAGATGCTGGTGAATGTGCAGGGAGCAAATCTGCAGCTCTAGAAATTATTTTAATGTGCATGAAAACTCAGTGATGCTGTTTACAGGGCACAGTAATAAACCATTCGGGGCTTGACTGAACTCTGGACTGAACTCTGAGGACGTTCACCTTGACGAAGCACAGCGGCAGGAAGGCCACATAATAAGCGCTGAAGAGCGAGTTGAAGAGCACTTCTTTGATGCGGCGGTTGAAGTCGGTCTTGAGCTCCTCGACCTCGCTGCGGATGAGCTCGGGCGACGGTGGGCAGGTGTGTGTGGGGATGTGTTTAGGGCTGGAGAACTGATCGCGCAGGTTTTCTCGCAGCAGCTTCAGGAAGTCTTTGGGCCGCGGCAGAGGCCCGTCGGATCCGTCCTGCTCTGAGAAACCGCATTCGGACGGAGCGGATTGAGCTCGACCCTCCTGATGGAAGCAGCAGAGCGGCACGTAAACGCCGAACCTAAACCAGACAGAGACTGGAGATTAAACCCCAACACACATTACAGAGACACAGCAGTGACAGGACCGTCTCTGACTCACGATGCAGAGCTGCCAACCTTGGAAAGATTTTATGAGTACCATCGGGTACTCATAAAATTGCTATTTAAAAAAAACTCCAGTATACTTTAACTAAAACTCCAATAACCTCTGTAGAAAAACATGGATTATCATGTGTCTACTTCAAATTTCTTTTTAGAGAAGTATTATTTTTATGGATTGGCCATTATTTACTGCTATAAACACATGTAATGTGCGTTTCATTCATACTGGAAGCCAGAGGGTGCCTTTGCACTGAAAATCCACACATGTGTCACAGAAGTAATAGAATTACTGGCGCTCCAGGAAATCCCTAATATGAACAAAGGCATCCTGTGATCGCTGTAGCTGAATAAAAGATAGAAACGCTTTGAATCATGAAACATTAAGACAATAAACACTCACCTGCGACAATGTATAGTTTACCCGTGTTCTTAAAACTACCTCTTGTATTTTCATAATAATTAAGTATATTTATTACATTGCTAATCGACATAGAAATATATATTCTCTACTGTAATAAAGACTATGTCATTCTGTGATAAGAATCCAGATCAGATCACACAAGGCAGTTATTTCTAACATTCGATTGATGTTGTGGTATAAAAAGATGTTATAGTGTTCTCTGTTTTTGGACAGCAGGTTTAGAAACGCTTCTCATTACAGGGGAAGATGTTTGCCGTGTGTTGCTTTCTCAAATGCTTGTTTTAAGCGCTGAGGTGTTTCCTCATCTCAGCACGCAGACTCACAGACACACAAACAGCCGGTTCGGAGAGAAATAAAACACACAGAAATTATTTAAATGCAAAACCGAAAAAACGCTCCAATTGGTCGAACTCTTCATCTTTTGCTGTTGCTTGAGTACTGCACGTGGACAGAGGCATCACCAGGTTTTTGCGTAGTTTAGAGGGACAAATCGTACCAGCGTACTTTGAGGTCAAAATGTGTAACCGCTAAGCAAAATGCATATAGGTTGGGAGGTCAGATGATGATTTTCCCATCCATTTGTGACTAGTAAATAAGTAAATAAATTATAATTATTAATGATAGTGGTTGCACTCACAAAGATCAGTTTGCCACTGACAAAATCTTTCAGACCACTGGCTGACAGGCTTTAGAAGGAGTTTAGAAAGTCTGACCAGTTGAGACAATCATGCATGTAAAGTTTCATAAAGAAAACACATTGCTCACGTTCTGATAGACAGCTTAAGCCTAACTTCATTAGGATGCTGAATGCCAAAACTGTGAAGACTGGACTGAACACGATTGGAATCAAACTTGGTAACTTTATAAGAAATATAGTAAAAATAACTGAGCAAATCTGTTCAAAATGGCAGAAATGGACCCGCAGAATCACAGAAATATATAGAGCCCAGCAGCACGACTGCAGGCCAGAGCTATTATAATGATTTTTGTCACTTTAATGGAAACTCAACAGTAAACCGAACACAAAGAGCCGCTTCAGCCTGATGGCATCCAGAGCATGATAATAACCGGGACTTTTATTGACTGGAATTCCCCTGTAAGACTGTGTGGAGACTCACGGATATCCCAAGAAGAGCAGGTTGAGCACGGAGTGATTCTTGAAGAGGTTGACGAGGGTCCAGCACAGAACCCATCCACACAGCGTCAGCAAGATCAACCGCGCCGCGATCAGAGCCACGTACCGCACCAGAGACGACGGACTCACCAGAGAGGCCTGAAACACACACACACACACACACACACACAGGGCCTTTATTAGGAGGAAACAGAGAAACGCTCGTCCTGAGGTACTTTCAGCTCACAGCGAGTGATGATCGTCATGTAAATGTCACTGGTATGATGTGACAAACAGACCACAGAAACCCTCATTCAAACTTCCTCCTGCACACACACACACACAACCCCACACACACACACACGCACACCACAACCAACGTTCCCTCTGAGCTACAAACAGTGTGAAAGCTGTTAGACGGTGTAATAACCAGTGTTGGGGAAAGTTACTTTTAAAAGTAATGCATTACAATATTGCGTTACCCCCTAAAAAATTAGCTAATTACGTTACTTAGTTACTTTTTATGGAAAGTAATACGTTACATTACTTTTGAGTTACTTTTCCAATCTGGCCAGGGCTTGCTTGTTTTTAATATAAAAAAGTTATTTTACAAATATAAAAACCCTTTCACAACAAAAGTGGAATGAATCCGCCTCAGGCTGAAGGAAATGTAAATTCACGTCTGTACAGTAGAGGGTGCAACTCAAACTAATCACATGAAGAATATGACAAATGTGTCATTTTTGCTTAGTATGATTGAATTTGATCATCGAAGGTCAGTAGCAAAGACATTGGATAAAATTGGATTAAATACATAAATTATATTTGTCTTATTTAACATTTAATTATTGCAGGTTTGTATAATATTCTGAGCTTGCATTTGACTGTTTTTATTGATTGTGAGGAACACTGAATGTGTTTGTGTGCAGTGAGATGAGTAAACACATGTTGATATTTAGTCTAGAACTACAGTAAGATCATGTTCACACACAACGCTCTGCACTTACTCCTGATTTCTGTCACCATGGCAACACCAGAGCTGTCACTCAACACATGGAAACAAAGTAACTGCTGTTACTTATTTGAAAAAGTAACTCAGATATTTCCTTCTAAATGAAAAAGTAATGCATTACTTTACTAGTTACTTGAAAAAAGTAATCTGATTACGTAACTCACGTTACCTGTAATGCGTTCCCCAACACTGGTAAGAACACTCATGGAACGCTGCTCTACCAATCAGATTCAAGCTAATACTATCTGCTGTATGATCAAACACACAAATATATACAGAGCCATACTATGGGTGTTTGCCAACAGAAAGGGAACACTGGTTAACATCCAATCATTTGAACAGCTTTACTTGATCGTTAAGAACAGAATCAGACGCACCTCTGAGATGATGGTCCACACCAGTCTCCTAGCCAGCATCACGGTGATGAAGACCGCCAGGTGATAGTCCATCAGATGGAAGCTCTTCACACACAAAAAGGACATTTCACTTTATGATTACATACTGCTTCATATAGAAAACGGTTTTGATTTTGTCACATTTGAAATGGCAGCACATCTTCAAATTCTCTCTTCATTTACTCACGCTCATGTCGTTTAAACCCACATGACTTTCTTTCTTCAGTGGAGCGCTAAAGGAGATGTTTAGCATGATGTTCGCGCTGCACTGAATCGTACAGTGAAAGCAGGCCGTGATCAGCCTGTCAAGATCCAGTGAAGCATCATAACGTTTATTCATTTGTGTCGGTTTAGTCATTATTCACTGAAACTCTATCTAGTCTAACACAGTAAAATGATGCCAAATGCCACTAAATCTCATCTGTGACCCTGCAGCACAAAAGCAGTGTTAAGTCGCTGGGGTATATTTGTAGCAATAGCCAACAATACATTGTATGGGTCAAAATCGATTTTTCTTTTATGCCAAAAATCATTAGGATATTAAGTAAAGATCATGTTCCATGAAGATATTTTGTAAATGTCCTACCGTAAATATATCAAAACCTAATTTTTTATTAGTAATATGCATTGCTAAGAACTTCATTTGAACAACTTTAAAGATGATTTTCTCAATATTTAGATTTTTTTGCACCCTCAGATTCCAGATTTTCAAATAGTTGTATCTCAGCCAAATATTGTTGTATCCTAACAAACCATACATCAATGGAAATATTATTTATTCAGCTTTCAGGTGATGTATAAATCTCAATTTCACAAAAATTTACCCTTATGACTGGTTTTGTGCTCCAGGGTCACATACGTCACGTGACCAACTGTGGCCAAAATCAACCAAACAAAAGCACAAATGTAATACAGGCTTCATTTCAGTCCGTTCCTCACACAAAGCATCATATGACATCAGAAAACACATTCATGACTGTTACCATGCTTTCATGGTGCTTCTCTGACAGCGGCTCCTGATCGCTCTCTGCTTTACAGTAAAGAGCAGCGAGAACATCCTACGTCTCCTTTTGTGTTCCACTGAAGGAGGTGCATCAATAATAATATATCAATAGTAATATTGTTGTATTGTGTGACTGGACTGTACCAGTGAGGTAGAGGCTGAGGGGTGGCTGTATGGAGACCACCACACCGTCCTGTAAATGTTGATGTACTGAACGAAGAGCGCCACCAGCAGGTAGAGGAAGAGCAGCGACTCGAACAGCAGGTTACTGTCTAGAGGAAGATCGGGAATACGGGAATGACGGACAGGTTCGGGAGTGATGAGGGCCGTGAGGGGCGGAGTCAGACCCACCACCCCGTTGTTCCTGCGAGAGAGAGACACACACTAGGGTTGGGCGATGTCAACAAAATTGGTGTAAACATTATAACAAAATGTGGAGTGGAGTTAGGGGGTGTGCCCGAAGCATGAATCCTTATAAGGCGCAAGCAACAAAATACTATAGAATCACTGATCTATAATAGAGATTCATTATATATAGATCAGTGTATAGAAGTCACTATAATCAGTGATGCTGTTACACTGGATGCGGCGCAGCGCGACACGACAAATCCCCGACAGTAAACTGCTGCTGTGTTCTATTTATGACGTGCTGACACCAATTTCAAATGACTTTCAACAGTCGCTTTGTCGCGTCCAGTGTAGACAGACTGTACTGTTCTTCTCGCATGTACGAATGCAATTTAACAGTCAGCCAAACTCCATCCATAAAGTACAGATGAGTCAGGATTCATCTTAGTCTTCGTCATTTTAATAAGATGCCATTGAGATGTACATTATGAATTAGGAGTAAAAAGATGATGCTTTTACAGACAAAAAACAAAGGTAAACATACCTGGCAATAAAGCTCATTCTGATTCTGATTCTGAAACAGCAGATGAAACTGTTGCACTAAAAGAGGAACTTAGTGAGTAATGAAGCTGAACTGTGAAGAAAACAGCTTTTACTAACACACCGCTGCTGCTGCTGAGGGGAATCATCTCATGATGCTCAGAAATGCGATTAGATTAGATTAGACTAGCAGCTAACCTACCACTACAACCAGACTAACACATCAACTATAGACTACTAACCTACCAGCACTAACTATCAGCTGAACCCCAGACTAACACATCAACTAACAAACTCAAACAGGAAATAAACAGACTAATTGGTTTGTCGCTGGTAACTGAACTAACCCTAACTAAACCAGCTCAACTATACGAGTATTAAAGAGCTGATGTTCATTAGCGACTGAAGGCATGATTAACACTTAAACGAATAACTAAAGTAACACTTACCGCACATCAATCATGAGCGCAGACATCAGTCAACCAAACTCTGTAACAAGCGCATTTGTGTCTTTCTCTGTAACAATGTTTCTGAAGAGACCGCGCGCGGGAGACTCGTCTCGCTGCTCGTTACTAACGGCGTTAACGAGCAAAACACAAAGTTGCTGAAGTTCCTCGCGCTGCAGTTACAGACCGACGTGGCAAACAGACGCTGCGTCACATGACGCCATCAGAGACGCGACGCGACGCGAGTGATGCGCAAGCGCTGTGTGTGTGTGTGTGCACAAAACCTAAACGTTTTGGTCTGGATTAATGTCTTTCTTTCGGCTGAACTGCAATATCGTTCTGTTTGTAAAAAATATACATACGTTTAAATTTGTATTACGAATATAATCTTTATCGTACTTTGTGGAATATGGGAACACGTGTTGCTACACATATTGTATTTTAACTTCCTGTTTTAATAGTTTTGTGAAACTGCCTGGGTTTCTGAAACAGCGCAAACATGAGCCAGAAACACCGAAGCTCTGCGGATTCTTCTGAACTACAGCTACACTCATATGAATAAAATACAGCATCATGTCATTTTGCTCGAAACTGAAACCATGAATGGATTGTTGTGAGCGATCCTGTGATCAGACGATAATATTGGCCTGAGAAGATGAAGCACTGATGAACATGCACAGACCTCAGGATTTATTTATGCAGATGCAGGAGACACACATGAGATGCATAAACATTAATAAACAGGCTGTTCTTTACATTTGCACAACAGAAACAAACCCTGCCATCAGCACAGAGGCTGTTCACATGCAGCAGCACTGATTCACAAAGTTTATATAAATGTGAGGTTGAACAATGATTGATTTTTAACTTGCAGTAAGTTCAAAGTAAAAATGCAGTTTTAAAATGCAGTAAGCAGTTCTGTAAAAGACACACAAAGACACTATTTACAGAAAGACTAAAGAACAGCTTGACCTGAGTTTGAGCAATAAAACGAAATACACATGGGACATCTGCATAAGTTACTTGTGTTTGTGTAGCCAAAGACTGAAAGCACTGATGTTCACAGCCAGCTCATAACGAGTAGCAAGCACAATCATGATGAAGCATTTCAATGCAAACAAGAGTCTCATACACACATCTTGTGTTATATTGCTTTATATCCCTATGCTGTGGCTACATTACTAAAAACCCAATATAGTAATAAATATACTGACGCAAAAGAAGTTATATTTACACAGATAAATCATAAAACCCAAGCAACCTAAAAAACGACTTCATTAAAATACAGCTTCCTTTAATGTCATTACTATAAGATGATATTCATTTTCACATGAATATAAACTGCTCTGCACAAAATATAAAAAAGAAATCAGTGATCAATGTTCAGTGTAACATCCTTCAAACATGTTCAATAAAATAAACGTGCTTTGTTCTGTGCACATGAACACAGAAACCTCCGTGAAGTCTGTCTACAGCGCTCCGGATCAGATGACTATACTGGTGCCGCTGCGAGAACTTTTATCCTGCAGGACAGAAGAAGTTATACATCAACACACCTACAAGATCAACAGCAGACAACCATGTGTGAGTGTGTGTGTGTGTGTGAGTGAGTGAGTGAGTGAGTGAGAGAGAGAGAGAGAGTGTGTGTGTGTGTGTGTGTGTGTGTGTGAGAGAGAGAGAGAG